TTGACCAGGAACCAAAGACATATACTACTACTGGTTGAATATGACATGCTCTACAAAATTTCTTAAATGGAAGAAGGTATAAAGTTTTAGTAGCATGAATTTAAATATTATTTTGATTATTCTGAAAGATTCAAAGGGTGAGTCATGTTGTACTTCGGTCTATTATACCATTGGTTAAGGGTAAGACGGTGGATTCAAGTCTCATCGCACCAAAAAGGTAAGACATCAGGTAAAGTCTGGATGCACCATAATGAAAAACGTTTGAGGGTAAGACAGTAGATTCATTTCTATCGCACCAAGAGGGTAAGACATCAATTTAAGTTTTGATGAACCATGATGATAAGGATTGGGTTCGAGTCCTGTAGAATTATGGCCTAACACGCCTTATATGGGTAAGGCATTGAGTTTGAGTCAATGCACCATAGCGATGATATAATGATGACTAAGGCTTTGATGAAAAGCCATGAAATTCGTCCCGTTGAATTTGCTTCATTCCCTGAGGCCAATGTGGTAGCAATACATGATAAGTTTGAAATCCGTCCAATTGCTCCATTCTATCATATGAATATGGTAGTAGTGAATAGTAAGTATGAAATAAGACAAGTGATTGAATATATGAATAAGGGCGTTGAGGGAAATAATTATAATAGTTATCATTGAGGTAATTATAAAAGGAAATGGTCCTTCAAAATGTGAAGGTAATTCTTATCATCATATGGTATGAAAGGTCATTGGACGTGTGGCTATTGTGCGGCCTAATAATATAAAAATCCTCCATTAAAAGAAAGGAAGATAAAGTGGTGGTACACTTGACTTTCAAAGTGATGTTGAGGTGGGTCATACAAAAATGTTGAATTTCAAAGACATGACAATGTGCTTGTAATGAAAATTTATAAAGCACATATAAATGATTAGTTCATTCCTTGAAGAGAATGTGACTTGTGATAAGCATTGTGAATGCTCGATCATTCAAAAAGAGAATGGATCAAGATGTGATAAATCATTATGGGTTGAATATATGCCACTACTCACCTCTAGGGGAGGTTTGAGAAAAATGATATATGACGCAACTCACCTCTATAGGAGGTTTGAGAAAAACAAAGACCAGTTGGCATGACTGGTTGGCCATTCCGGTTCAAATGTGATGCAAAAGTAACTGAGAATTCATGTGACTTTATGATGAAGAAATAAAAGACTCTTCAATAATTCTCTTGTGTTGCTTGTTCTCATGATAAAATGATCATTGTATCATTATACCAGTTAAGGTTGGGATTGTATTCCCTGAGATTTTTGAAACATATAAAAAGCTGAATATGGACCCGTTCACCTGTCATGTGGACCGTTTGCAACTATATGATAAATGCATCTATGGGATGGTCACATGTGCTTTGTTGTCATCTTACAAATTGATTTTTGTAAGGTTGTCTACTCTAATTGTTAAATTAAGAGCACAATTTCAAACTATGAAATTATATTGATAATGCTGGTTGGTTTAGGAAAAATTGTATGCCTCCAATTATAGCTAAACCTTGGGTATGAGAACGAAACTCTCAAATAAAATTTGGTATGCGATGAGTTTATTTAACATGTAGCGACACATGTATGTATCAAGCCAACAAGGTTTCCCCATCAAAATTAGTTTAGGGTCAGGAACCAAATAATTTTCATCTAAAGTTTGAATGTGCGATATCTGATTTAATTGCTCCACCACGCACAAAGATGGATTCCCAAGTGAGGTTGGGGTGAATGTTAGATTTTCTAACATTAGGGGAAGAGATGATTGACAGCTAAAAATTATGAGATGAATTATCTAGATCCTCGTAAAAAAGTGAATTTGAAGTTCAAGAGATAATTCATTTGCATAATGTTGCAAATTAATTGCCAAATGAATTTGCAATCCAGCTGCAAATGCCAGTGAGAAGTTCTTAAGGGACAAAGTTTATGGTACGCATGAAGCGTGATAGACCAATCGATTCCAAATGAAAAACTTCTTAAGGAAGGAGAGGAGCAAATAATCAAGATGGTCATGATAATGAGGCAAGTGCTTTAAAAGGAGCACGATGACATAACACTTCATAAAAATCTTGACAAAGGTTCAGGTACCTGAAATGATGAAATATGAAGAGATCTCGATAAATTATGTCGTATTGGAATTGAGTCAAAAGACCGTCGACGGTATTTTTGATATGAAGTAGCGCTCAATGCTACAGATGATGAAGAGGATCTTGAATTCAAATTTGTCATATAATGTGGACATATAAATGATTGGCCAAATGAAATGCACAATTCAAATAAAGTATGCTTCACTTTTAAAAGTGATGTTTTGGACTTATAGTCCATGGGTCAAGATATAATGTCAAGTAGGGTACAAATGAATCATTATGTGAAAGTATAACCGTAAGATATAAAGTACGGTTTGTGCCTTGGGGCATAAAGAATTTTCGCAAAAGTCCTGACATTATTAAATGGAGATATATTCTCCTATGGTGGATGCTATGAGGCTTGTTTCAGTATGACAATTGATGAAATGCTTGAATATGTGTAATGACTGATTGTCATGTCTAGCTAGATGATGAAGGTTATATGAAAATCCTTGAAGAATTTAAAAGGTCTTAAAGCAATTTCATTGAGTACCTCAATGGTTGTAAGATTATTTAAAAAAGGAAAGATATTAATTCCGATCATATGAAAATGATTTAAAAATATCATGTATTAGTGCAATTGGTGCACATAGAGATTATTGATTATGCAGATGCCGAGAACTGTGTAATTCCTCTTTGAAATGGGGTATTCCAGCCATCATGTATGAAGATAATGGTGCATGTATAGCTCGATTGAAGGGAGGATACATCAAAGAAGACTGGATAAAATACGTTTCACCAAAGTTCTTCTTCACACATGATCTTCAATAAAATTGTGAGATAGAAGTTCAATAGATCTGTTCAAGTGATAATCTTACAGATTTATTCACTAAGACATTGCCAACATCAACATTTGAAAAGTTGAGATATAAGATTGGAATGCGTCATCTCCGAGATATCAAGTAAAGGTTTCATCAGGGGAAGTGAAATACGCGTTGTACTCTTTTTCTTAACCATGCTTTTGTCCCAATTGAATTTTCCTGGTAAAGTTTTTAATGAGGCAACACTCAAAGCGTATTATGAGATGTGTGTACTTTTTTTCTTTCACTAGCCTTTTTCTCACTGGGTTTTTCCTAGTAAGGTTTTAACGAGGCACATTATCCATGGACATCCAAGGGGGAGTGTTATAAATTCATTGGACTAAATGGATTGTCCATTGAGTTTATCCATAAACTTATACTTATCATCTATGTGTATTCCCTAGGTTTTATGAACCTTTTTGGATAAGAATGTATCTATTTATTATGATACTTAATATGGTGACTTTTGGAATGATTTCTCAACCTAAAATAGGGTTGTTCATTCACCATTGTAAAATACACACATGAGACATGAAGACATTTGAATAAGATGATCTCTACATTCTACTCCCCATATATCTTTGTCTATATTTCTTGTAGTATATTATTCATATTTTACAACAAATATATACTAATTTGAAAAATATAAAACAATTTTTTTTTATAATATTACTCCATCCATCCCATATTAGTTGATCATCTTACTAAAAATAGTTGTCCCATATTAGTTGATCATCTTACTAAATCAAGAAAGTATTGATTAAATTTTTCATATATTACCCTTACAATTAATTCTTTTTGAAAGTGTTCACATTTATTTGTAAAAATTTCAAGAAGTTTCTTAAGAGGTGAATTAGTAAAATTATCTTATTTATGATTTTTTATTATGCGTAAAAAGGAAAGTGATCAACTAATTGGGATGGAGGAGTAGTTCAAAACATATGTTTGTTGATTAAATATTTTCAAAAGATAATATATATCTTAAATATTTGATTATTTTTCATTTATAAAGTCTCTTATTTGTCTAATATAAATTTTTTATTTTAGATAACTAATTATAATTTTAAAATTTAATATAATCTTATTATTGCAATTGTGCGATCAAACAGCGCATTTGTAATTACATTATGGCAAACAAACAGGTCAACCTAATTACTATGTTGTGTAATTACTATGCTGGTAGTTGCACCAATTCCAATTATCCGGTGGCTTTCCAAACCGACCCTTAGGGATTTGGTTAATTGAATAGGAAAGAGGATGGAGATTAAGTCACGGTCATTGATCAATACAAAATGAACGGATGAGATTAAAATTGGAATATATAACTAGGCCACATTTGGTTTAAGTTGGCTAAAACTGGAATAAATTTGGACGGGAAATAGGTATAACTTAAATAATTTGGAGCAAAATGAAAAGATTACAATCTAATTAATAAAATACTACATATATTAAATAGAAAATAGATGAATATTTATCATGTAAAATAATAACTTCCCATATAAAAGAAATACACGCTTCATTAAATTATATTTATATATTAGATACTAAACAAACATAAATAATATACAAAAATCGTTATTTCAAATTAACAATTAATAAAAGTACATAGCTACAAGAACAAAAATAATATTTCTATTATAAAATATGAGTATTAAATATGATTAATTAGATAAAATTAAATAGCTTACATATATATATATATATATATATAGGAAATTAGTTTTGAAAACATTTACTTAATCAAATAACAACCCAAATGAAATATAAGTCGATAAAAATTGAGTATCAATAATATTGTAATGGTATCAAACAAACTATAAGCGAAATAAGCTTAGGCTAAAAAAAGGGAACGCAGAGATTACTTTTTGCATCCCAAAGACATGAGCCGACTGACTACTCTATTTTTGGGCTATATTTTGTAACCTTATTTTTAGGGGCAACCAAAATTTACACACTTGAGCCTGGCAACCTGCGTTTTTCCCATTAACTGAAAAGGGCAAGCAGGCCACTATTAACTAATATTTCCCTTTACAAGGCTCCAGTTTATTTTCTTCATCCATGAGATCTGAATAAAGTTGCATTAAGTGCGCTAACCAAATCATAAAATGTGAAAGCCAACACCAAAACATTAAGGTGTTACATGTATGAAGCTCGCTGTACGTTTCACCAATCACAGCAACATAAATAGCTAACTATACATAAAATATGAACCTCTGTAGTCAAATATTATGTCCCTAGCCAGCCTACACAAACATATCAAATATTTCATTTTGCCTCATGATGGGACTAGGCTGCTGAAGATGCGTTTCAAACTGGGACATGCAACCCGCAACCTCGTCATGTTCAGTGGACAAATCTGTTTAAGTGGAAAAAAGGATTATCAGCAAATTCACAAAAGAGCCCTTGTTTGTATCAATAAAATGATACACAAAAATCAATACAGGGCATATTCTTAACATCAAAAGTACTCCTGACCTTGGGACAAAAACGAACGTCAAGCGTCTCAAGCATCGTACATCGTGATACGGCAGCTTCAACAGCTTCCTCATCAATGTTGCAGGACTGTAGGACAACAAAAGCAAGAGTACAGAATAACTCCACATCACAATTGTGTCAGAAGAATTTCAATTGCACAAGCACCTTCCGGGTGTGCCAACGATTTTTCAAGGGAGTTCATCAAAGTAGTTTTTAACAAGACATGATGGAAAGAAAGGCAATCGATTTCACGAGCTCTACACTAGAAAGTGGCATGTCTTTGAGGTAAGTCCGAGGCGTGTAATGATAGAAGCAACAACGGAAATACAGCTCAGAGAAAGCAAAAACTTCTAAAGAAAAAAAAAACTAAGACTTCAGTTCTCACTTGCAGTTCCAATATTCAAGCAAATAAGCATCAGTTGAGAGTTCAAATTCTCATTTCAGTAATTTTAACACAAGTACATCATGCTCCAAGAAATATAGGCACGATGCCCCCAAACTACATGCCATCCCTAAGGACTTCTAACACTTCCAAATTTGAAAAATGTTTATTATCTATCCACATGAATTCCTAGGAAGACCATGAAGAGTATTAGGATTACTTGTTATTTTAGTAGACCACTGTGTTAATTTGAGTACTCCTAAGACAATATGCAGCTAGCTATTAGATCTTACAATACAATCCCATTAGCGACTTGATTAGGAGCTCAAGTTCTCTCTACAGAATATCAAGCTTAAGGGTATGCATATTCTCCATACCAACCTACTGAACCAGAGGCAGACGAGAATGTTTTGTAAAATAGACCAACGAGGATCCTCCTATCCTAAATGGATGAGTCTTTGGTGTAAAAAGGAAATTGTAAATGAAGTTGAATCATTGATATAACTCATAAAGTCCCTACAAGGTAGGAAGGGGACTGACATTTGTAATGGTTGTACAGTTTGCATATCCTTCATGCTAAGGTAAAAAACTATTACTACCTCAACAGGGGAAAAAAAGCACAAGCAAAATGATAAAGACCAACTAGAAAGAACACTTTTGCAGCAAAGCTACCACTACAACAATTAAAAAGCCAGCAAAGAAAATGCCAAATTGAAGATGCAAGAATACCTGAAGAAAGAGGCTACTTAATCTTGGACATTCCAGTTGCAATGATTCCAATGAACAGCAATTGCTGAACAAGAGAACATAATTAAGTAACAACTATGATCATGAAAATAAAGCCATTGATACAACATTAACCTACGAAATCATATTGCTAAAGAAAATACCTCAAATTGAGAACGCACAAGTTGTAACAAGCTATATCAACCTCCTTCAAATTCGCAGACAGGGAAAGGTTTAATGATGACAAAAGGAAACCTTGTGCCATAGGAATAAACACCTTTTTTATATTTGGGCAGCCTACACAGTTAAGGTTCTCTAGCAAACGCTTTGGTTGTTCATTTGGCAACTGCTGTTCTCCCAGGGAAGATCCATGAGGTATACTAACACTGGGTATATGCGACAGTTGATCTCCAGTAAATCCCCAATTTAAATCATGCATATTAATACATCCATTCAAGCTGACATGACTCAAATGTGTGCAGCAAGCAAGCAATTCCTCAATGGCTGATTGGCATAAGGTCCCATACGACAAATCCAACTCACAAAGGGCTGGGAGAGCATTTTCTTTATAGAGGGGTTCCAAAGATGTATCAGTGAGATACTTGCATGCTTGCAACTTTAGGACCTACAACATAACATATATATATAAGCTTAGAGAGGGGTTAAAAAAAAAAAGGAGGGGTGGGGGTGGTGGGGCAGTAAGCCAAAAAAGCCCATCAATGTATCATGCAGATCCAAAAAGTTTTATCCCAAACGCAATAAGGATGTGCCTAGTGCAGTGAGAAAGAGAAACACACTTGTGTTACTAAACTAGAGTCTCATCAGAAAATTTCAGATATAGCACTAGAAATTCTGCATACAAGGAACTCATTCCCTTGCACTGAAACAAATTGGGCACAAGACAATGGCAAACATTGGATATGGACAAAAATTATAGCATCTGTTGGAAAGTAGAAATATTCAGATGTTACGCTCCAAAATAAAAATGAATGACAGAATGCCTAAAGTAACTGGATCTCCACAATTCCAGGCCGGCCATCTTCAAGGGTCTAAAAAGGAGGGCCAATAATGAAAGAGTTAAGGTGGCAATTCTAGTCTACAGTTTCGTAATATTTAACAAGTGCATTTATAAACAACCCAACCAAGTGGCACAGAACTATTTGAGAACAGAGACAACATCATCAGTCCTGGAATGGCATTAGAATATCCTACTCCATCAACAGCTAATATAATTGTAGATTTTAGAAGTCCAACAATCTACAATCTTATTCTATACTTTGTTGACTCTCTTTCCCTTGCCCTCGACTAGAGTTCTTTTCAATGCAAAATGGAAACCTCTTACAAGTTTTCTTATTGCTCTTTACAGTTTCTGTTGCTCCAGATCCTCCAGAGCAGGTAAAAGCTAAAGCCTAAGCTTGCTTTTAGCTGTTTCCTAGCTCTTTCTGGTATCCATGATTGTCAGCTTTCTATTCTACTGATGTTACTTTAAATCTGTGTTATCACTTACACTTGATCTAATGCATTGGCTTAATTTACTTCTTATTCTTTGTACAGAGCTGATGATTCACTTTGAAAACAGAAATGCTTTTTCAATAATAAATCAATATAGTTGTCGAAGGGGAGCCTTGGCATAACCGATTACGTTGTTGCCATGTGAATGGGAAACAACCTCTCACAGAAATGCTGGGTAAGGCTACGTATAATAGACCCTAGTGATCCGGCCCTTCTCCAGACCCAGCGCATAGCGCAAGCTTAATGCACCGGGCTTCCCTCTTTAAATTAATACAGTTGTCACTTGTCAGAACTGTGGTATAACTTGGTAAGAAAATTATAATGGTATTTTGTATTGAAAAATTAAACTTTTGGTTCTTCTTAATGAAAAACTTCAAATTTGACTTCTTCGCCACAACAGAGAAACAGCTTATGGTACTAAAGATCACATTTCTTTTCCAAGAAGAATGGTCAAACACCTTAACTGCCAAAAAACTGAAGGAAAAAAAAAGCACTTCTAGTTCCCCAAAAATATGGCCACAAACAATGATTATTAAATTTGTAATAGTCAAAATAGAATCACAGTTCTACTGAAGTAAGCTTTCAATCAGTCAGAACTGATTCACAAATTGTTACATGCATCCTGGTGTTTTAGCTTTTACTGCAAGTGGGAAAAAAGGAGAACAGAAAAAGGAAAAGGAGAGATTAAAGTAAATGGCTTATGACCCTGTGTTCATCCCATCTTAACATGAGTAAATTTTGTAGTTAGGTATTTTGACCAGCACAAACTTAAGCCAACCCATCCCTTTGATACCCATAGAAAAAAAGATAGGAAAGTGGCCCATATATCTAGAAGAGTGCAAGTCCAGACTGGATAAATAGGCATACTTTTTCCACAAAATAGAGCATGTTAAATCAAGTTCATCTAGCTTCCCACTGTAATGGAGAAAGTGATAATATGCTTAGGCGATAGAAGTTACCTTTAACTGCAAGCATGATTCATAAACAGGTTGCAAGGTAACCAAAAACGTATAGGATAGATCAAGGTAGGTCAAGTTTGGGAGGGACTGCAAAGAGAGGAGTCCATCACAGCCAACAGATGGACATGACATTAATACTAATGACTCGATGAGGGGGCACGACGAAGTCGTGGCAGATAAACAATCATCCTTGAGTTGGCTGCATATATGGAAAGAAATTAATGAGATGTGACAGAACTAAAACAAATATGCACGTGTGACAAGCGAGAGAAAGTAAGCAACCTGCAGAATGAAGCATCAAAAGAGGTTAACAGGGGGCAATTAATAGATGCTTCAGATAGCACACCACAGCCCTTCAGCTCAAGTGAAGCCATTTGTGGAGCTTCAATATGGAGCATATTCATTTTGGGGCATATACCAAGATTAAGTGACCTAAGACCAACCTGGAATAAGAGAACACCTTTATCAACCATTTGGGTATAAATAAAGAAAAAAATGCATGTGTAACAAATTAACAATCATAAAATCAGCAGGTGAACATACAACTCCAGTCTCAAACCCAGAGATGAGGTAAAGAAAAGAGGAAGGACCCGATGATCACTTACTGGGCAAAATGATGCTACTTCAAGATGATCACAACCATCTAAAGAGACTTGTTCAAGATATCGGCAACTAAGTGCAAGAGAAATTAAAGCACGGCAACCACCAAGTGAAAGAGAAACCAAAGAAGTGCTGCAGAAAGCCACAAGTGTCAAGCTCTGAAAAAAAGAAAAGACCGTAATTAGATTTAGACCATAACAACAATACAAATGTTACATAGATACAGCCGGATCTTTCAAGTTGAATAGGCAGAAATATATCACTTCCAATATTAAAAAAAAAAAAACTTTTCTGAATAGGTGTTAGCCTAAAACAGATCTGGCAGAAAAGAGAACACAGAAGGTGAATGCTAATCAGGACCCATTCTAAAACAGTGGAAACCTTTCCCTCTCTCAGCCCCCTTTTCCCCGGGAGGTCGCAACTTGAATATATTACTCTTTCTCTCACCCGGTCCCTCCCCCCCTTTCCCAGGAGGGGGGAGGGGGCACGGGGGAGGGAGAATGGGTAACCGAAATATAATACTTGATTTGTTGTGAATTTCTTCAATAGTCTACCACAATATTGACAAATTTAGTTCATTATTTTGTACATCTCTCAAAAATGTCAAACCCAAACCTAATTCAGCCTTACTTTCTTGATCACCAAATCAATAAAAGGGAATCTTGATTGGGAGAGGAGTACATATTTTCATCAAGCTTCAAAAGAAAATTCCGATTTGACATTTTTTTTTGAAATGGCGCGACTTCAGCTCTAGCATTGAATCAGGAAAAAAAAGGTGAACTATTTTCTTCTCCCATCTGGGCAATAGTTCTCATGTTCTACTTCAGCTTAAAGCCTTAAACCGTCCCCTTAAGAACTCCCATGTATCTAATCAAAATGTTGAAAGAAACTTAGAGCTTATGATACCAAGAAAGACGTTTACCCTAATAGTTATATTTTGACAAGATAAATATACTTCAAGTTAATTTGGAAATGTGAGTATAACATAAATACTACTGGTAAATCTAGGAATACATAATCACTATCCTTAATGCCAAAACAAAGGAATTAGAACTTTTCATCTTTCCCGCTTCACCTCTTGAACAATTTTAATATTTTTTAACTTGTCTGAGTTATTGAAGGAGATTCTCGCAACAAGTTATCCAGGAATTGTTATCCCACCCTCAATGTGGGATAAGAATGACACTACAATCCCGGGATAAGTTATCCCGCGATTTTATCCCAACCAAACATGGGATAAACTCATCCTAAAACAAATCCTGGGATCAGTAATCTCTTATCCCTCATATCAAACAAGCCCTTAGTGCACCCAGTAGCACAGCTTCCCAGGCTTACGGCAAACAAGAAAGCACAACCAGATGACACAACAGTCAGTACACTTGGATCATACTTTTTCATTTCATCATCTTTCATGATTACTCATTAAAATACCTGATCATTGATTGTCAGAATTCAGTACTAGATTTATTTACTTGGAAACATGCATAAAAAAGAATCACAGTATGTGTTACAAGAAAAGCAAAAATGGCACTATGATCATAGGTCCACAACCACATTGACATACGTGAGGACAAAAACAAGCTCTTAATGAAAAATGTACTCTGCACAGATCAACTGCCAAGATTTTAAGTGAACCACCTTCCGTTGACAAGCAAAACTAAGAAGAGATCATATATATCGTAATTAGATTTAGAAAAATCATGTTCAGCAACACATCCTCTAGTTAACAACCAAGAATGCACAAGTTAACAACGAGGAACTAAAATTGCCAACCTCACAGTTATCTAGAACTAAGGATTTAAGCACAGGACAGCCACCACCATCACTGAAAACTTCACAAATAGAATTGGTGAGCGATTCACACTCAGTAAGGTCTACTTCTAGCAAATTCGGACACTGTAATGCAATTGTTGTCAAGCTTTCCTGCTTCTGCAAAACTAATTTCTGTGGAATAATAAAGGAGAGAACTATTATCCAATGAATAGAATAATTCTAGTCAATAAAATAAGGTGACAATATATAACATCTAGGAATAAACTTACTTTGAGTGCACTTGAAGTTATATTGATTCGATGAAGCAATGGGCAATTAGAAACAGTAATTGATGATAACATTCCACAATGCAAGTTAAGGTCAATAAACCTGTTTCAATATAAACAGTAGGTTACTGCACAAAAGAGTGACGGCAATCAAGGGATGGAAAGAAGTTCCCTTGAGACTGGATATGGAAACTATAAAGCCTGTATCATACTTGCGACAATGTACTAGTCTGATGCTCTGAAGGCGAGGAAGATCCAAGGACACTGATGTCAATAAACTGCAATTATCAAGCTCCAGAACCTGAAAAAAAGTAAAATTCACTGTTCAATATGAGATTTAAGGACTCCTGATTACAGCATGGCTACCAGTATGAAAAGGGTGAGGAAAGACTCAAACCTCTAACATATAGCTATGGGCTATGGCAGCCATGGAAGCTGATGTTATGCCCTCACAACTATGAAGCTTGAGAACAGTCAGCATAACCAGCCTCACAGACTTCAACAAGTAACAAGTGTTAGTATAAGCCAACTATGTCAATTTCAGGTACTAGGTAATTTTAATGAACATACCTCAAGAGAAATGTTTGGGCAGTATGAAGCATCCAAAACTCGAAGATTTCCACAAGTTTGAGCTATATCACGCAGTGTTTCATCACTGACACATGAACAATTTGACATATCCAAAGACTCTAAAAGAGGGCATGCTGTAGCAGCCGAACGAATAGCAGCGTCGGAAAGTTTGTGACATGAAGCAATATCAAGGTCATGTAAAAGAGGGCAATTAAGCACCGCATGTGGCATGCTACTGCGCTTAAGTGACAACGTTTCAAGTTGTGGACATCTGTAAGAATACCAACAATTAAGCACAATTGGACGCTAACTACTTTAACAAATTAACATTGTTGACTAATATTATACAACCTGATAGAAACTCGAAGCACACGACACTTCACTAGCTGCAGAAGACGCAAGCTATCATGAGAAATTGGTATCTCTTGAATGCCATTTCCAAGAGTGGCATCATTAATGGTCAAACTCCTCAACACATGGCAATCTGTTAAGGCTTGAAAAAATGTTTCCCCCAATTGACCTCTGCCCAATGACAGAGTCTCAAGATTCCTGGCAACAATGAAATGTATCAAATTAGTCACTTATAGTGATTCATTCCTAGAGTAGTGACAACAACATAAAAAAAAGTATTACCTTAAAGAAGAAACAGCTTTCATTGCTAGTGGGTGAATATTAGGAGTTCCATATAAGTTGATTGTTGTTGCATTTGGGTATCGCCGACACATGTCCTCAACTACATCATACATGAACAAAAAGTTGCAATTAATTGAAACATGAATTTTATGTGAAGTGATCATAGTAGTGTGGAAGGAACGGATATGAGGAAAAGATACTCACATTGATTTGAGGATATCTGTTTATTCTCAAAATTCAGATACCGCCAAAAGTCTTCGTGAGAGCTAGCTGCTCTCCACTGGCTACAAACACTTGCAGCTCGACAAAGATCAATATGGTCCAAAAAGGAGAACACCTGGCAACAGATGAGGCATATATTCCCTTAATCAGAAACTTAGCATAAACACTTATTGATTAAGCAACTCAGAAGGAGCGGATGTGGCAACTAGTAAATACCATATGCAACAAGTCATCAGTAAGATCCATCCGCACATCTAAATAGTCCATTTTAGAATCTTTCCCCTCAGCATCTGTTGCACCAAGTAAGTTTGATAAACTCATATCTCCACCGCCCTCGTTCATTGGACATAGGTAACTGGTTTCCAGCAACAAGTGGTTGTCCCAATCCCTGCAAGAATATTAATCAATCAGTCTTCATTTTTGAGTTGTTGGCCTACATTTAGGGCTTACTTCAAAACTCAAAAGACAATTTGATTATATCAAATTAAAGAGTAACATTATATATTAGGTTAAGCTTTTGAAATTCCAAATATAACTAGCTTTAGAAATAATTCTACTCCATGTTAATATTACTATGTTCTTTTCTCTAAAAGAATTATGTGAGAATGTACTTTCTCCAAAACTCAGTGAATAGTGTAACACTCTTGACCACATGTAAAACTGTACTACACGAGAAATAATTACAGGACTCTTGAGAGTCCTTAATTAATTAGTGAGCCGCCCCTATAACATCAACTGATCCTTGTAATTAGGCTTGGGTTGCTTAAATGAATTCTGTATTAGTTCTCTACTATGGCCAACTTCACTCTAATATTCAATAAAATTTGACTAATTGGAAAAAAAATATTGTAAATGAAGGTGCAGTAGCAGGTCTTACAGCGAAAAGGAGTTAACTTTGGGCCTTTTACTACAGGTATCACGATCAGAATCCTCTTTCAGCACTGTTGAGGATGAAGCCTCTCCACTCAAACCCAAATTCAAATTAACATCCAACATTTTCTCACCACTATAATTTTCATTCTTCACCTCCACTTCACTGGATAACCAGTTGCTATCAAAATCAATCTCCTCATTCTTGGGAACACCAAGATCACCCGCAGCGCCCGCTTGTGGACTCACCACTGCTGCAACATTGACACCTTCAAAAACATTCCTCCAGTCAAATGCCGAATTTTCATCTGGAGATTCGTCGCCGTTATTCCCCAAAATCGGGTCCCTCATACTCTTGTAGCCCTTCTTACTATCTTCTTCTTCTCCAAAACATAAACAACACCAAATCCTCATACACTCACTCACACCACACCAAGAAAAATAAAGAATAAACCCCAAATTTTATCAATTTCTGATCTTCAGAAACCCTAGCTCACGATCTAAAACTTTCCCCAAAAAAAAACCCTAACTGTACAACAAACTACACAAAAACGACTCCTTTTTCACAAGAAAGCACACAAATTACATAGTTCACAGAATCTAACAAATTCTTGTTCCAGAATCTTCGACAAACCGGAGAATGGAGTTGCAGAAAAAGGTATGTGTGTAGAGAGAAAGAAAACAGTATGAGAAGTGCAGTGAGAGAAAGACAAAGAGATCTGATCGGATCTTTCGAAGGATCGAAGGCTGGCAGTGGTGACGCTTTTCTGGGATTGAGCTTTGGAAAGATCGGCAAATGGAGATTTGTGGGAAAAATAATACTACAGACAATGGAGCTACTTCTTTTCGCCTTATATATGTCTGCCTATGTTTATATCTCACCACTTTATCTCTCAAAAATCAAATATTACAAAATACAAATAGTGAATTTATATAAATAATCCTTCTTTTTTCCTATTAAGAGTTTCAACATGGAAATTATAAAATTTGAAAATTAAAAATACTACTCTAGTATTTAAAGTTAAAATTGTGTTTGAATATGCATATTTAATTATTTTTTTGTAAATGAAATATAGTGAATTTTATTTTATTTTTAAATTAAAGTGAGACCTTGAGGTCTTTTTTTATTAAAATGGAAAGCAAATGATTCAATGTACCAAGTTTGATTCAAAAAAAGATTCAGCCCAATTCAAAAAGAAAATAAAGATAAAAATGGATATAGACAAAAATAAATAGGCATTTAGATTCGTGAATGTTTTGAGGATAGCAACATATGGGTTCTTTGTATTCTTCGACAACTTCTCGACAAAGGGATTTAGATCATTGGTCACGCAGTGTCCAAGCAAAGATCTCATTTCTCTAGAAATCATTAAGGAGCGACAAAAATGAGGTAAGATCCTTCGTTCTTCAACCTTTCGGGTTTGAGCTCCCATTGAATTTTGAAATTTCATAATTTCTAACTTCCCATATGTTATTTGTGCTAAAGATACTCAAAATGCTAAGTAAACTTATGTAACACCCCAAAGGTTCCAATAAAAGGTTGCACAATTCAAAAAATATATATAGATTTGCAGAATTTTGGGTTCTATGGACAAGTTTACAAGTCGTGGAAAGTAGTACGACTCGTAGGAATCATCCGTGTATGAGACTTCGGAAATCAGGAAAATTGGGTCAAAATTTACGATCGAATTTAAGAGTCGTATAAAGTTGTATGAATCATAGACACGAATCGTAGTTGAAACTTCAGAAAGTTTGGCTCAAAATAGATGAGTGGATTTATGAGTCGTAATAGGTTCTATGTGTCGTGGAAAGACCTCATGAACCAAAGTCCTAAAACCTTGGATATTCCCCAGACTTACTTCTACGACTTGGTAGTATGGATCGTTCAATGGACTACGAGTCGTGGTTTAGGTCTCGTAGATCCTTCCTAAAAATCTAAGCATTTCGTTACAGTTTTCTACAAACGACCCGGACAGGTCATAAGACATTCTACGGATCGTAAAAGGGCTTCATAGGTCAAAGTTCAGAAATTTAGGATTTTTTCCTCTAAGTACCATGGACAGGGTTCTACGGACCGTAGAGGGTATTATGGTTCGTAGATACCCCGTAGAAGCCCCCCAACAGTTGTTAACTAGGGGCGTTTTAGTCCTTTTCCACTCTTTTCATTCTTAATTATGTATTTGGCCTGTTCTAAGTGGGAATAAAGGATTCCTAACAACCATAATCTCTCATTCTCTCTTAATTCTCCCAAAATCCAATTTCTTCTCTCTCAAGTTTCTTTTCAAGGCAAGAAAAAGTGATTCAAACTTCAAGTCTTTCTTCCAAGATTCAAGCTAGGGTTTCATTCAAGGTATGTGAGAACTTCATCAATGGGTTCTTCTTTATCTATTGAGTCCCAAAGAAACCTCAATTTCTCAAATTATAAATTTCCCAAAACTAGAGCTTAGTTGATCTTGGATACTTATTGAATTTCAGTTTCTTCTTCATAATTAATCTTAAATTGCATGAATTGATTATAATCCAATGTTTTCAATGATATTTTCATAAACTCATAGCACAGATTATATATTATATATATATATATATATGTCTGTGTGTGTCTCATATTATCACATTTTCATGAAATATGATACTTCTAAATAAATTATCTCTCGGTATATACATATATCATGATTATGATGCTGTTAATTAGAGGATCCTTCAGATTATGTTCAGTTATCATGGTTTATGAGCTACTCATTATTTTATTAGATTATCAATACGATTAAGTAGAACAAATTATTATTGTTTTCAGATTTATGCATAATTTTGTTGGGAGTATACTTAGCACCGAATCGGACTAAGGTCGATTACCCAAGTTTTAGAACTATGTGCCCCCGTAGATTATGTCTTGAACAGACATTAGCTAGTGGATCCACGTTAGCTCATATATCATGTCCTTTACCTTGGCAAGTAGGATACTCTCTTTTTGGTGTGGGAGTAGTACACCGAACTCTATGTATAAGCTTACATGATTTATGTCGGTTTTAGTATCTCCCACATATGGTATGTTTCATATATTGCATGATCTTGTACTTATGTATGTTAGATTATTATAACTCAGTGTTATTTTATTTAACTTGGTCTTTCATCAGCATGTTTTACAGATTTATCATGATCAGATGTTATGTTCATTATGCATTTCTCATATTCCAAGTATTGACTGCATACTTTCTACCTATATTGTTTGAGAATATAGGTTCTGACACTGTTAGTACTACCTCTGATTAGCTAGTAGCAGTATTGATGAGTCATCATCTCTACAAGGACACCACTTATGTTTCATTTTTAGACATTACTTTTAGTTTTCAGACTTGTTAGAGTTAGCTAGGGGTTTATCCTAACAACTCGTATTAGTAGAGGCTTTTAGATAGATACTTAGATTCCGCCATGTGATGTTGTTTCTAGATTTTGTCTATGTTAAGTTTATGGGTTCTATTTCAGATATTTCAATTTTAGTTTCCACATGTATATCTCAATTTTGTGTTGATTTGCTATTCTTAGTGTCATGTCATGCCATGTCTTGAAGTTATCTAAGGGTCACTTGTGGCTCTAGGCACCGTATCGCATCTAGAGATAGTCTCGGGGCGTGACAACTTTATCTCAATATACCCAAAAAATCCCATTATGTGCTATGATATCATATTTCAAACAAAAAACTTCTTCAGATTTAGAGTTATGTAGAACAAAGGAACACAATGGTGAATGTATTGTTAAAATTCTTGAAATTATCTTTGAGCGGTGATTTCAAATATAAAAAAATAAATAGAAAAGGGTCGTATTTGTCCTTATACTTAAAAAAAAAGGTTATATTTACCCCTCATAATGCTTTTTGATATATTCGTCCTTAGCATCCAACTCTGGGCACATATTTAGCCTTGAACTATTAAGTCTCATTTGTCAATTCTTATTATCATATGTTTCAAACAACATATTTCAGTAAAAATTTAATTAGAAGAAGTATGGTAGGACTTTAATTAAATAGATTATTAGATAGAATTCATAAAATTCCAATCTATTTTTTTTAATAATAAATGGAATATAAAATGAAAATAATTAACAAATGCATCTCTCCAATGAATGTGGACATCGTAGCAATCAAGTATGTCAATGTATGAATCAAAATAAATTAAGTCTCTTTAAGGTGAGAAAGAGGGATCGAGAATGATGATAATCATAACAACAATAATGACGCTGGAGAGTAAAAATTTATGATGATAATAACCATTTTAATTACAAGACTAAAATACGAAATATTTTTAATCCAATTAAATTTGAGTGGAAAGAAATTTTAATTGGGTTAAACATATATCTACCTAGGCTCCATGTAGGATAATAACAGTGGACACATGAAACTTAACAGTTCAAGGAAAAATATATGTCGAAAGTGGTATTGTAAGAACAAACATATCAAAAAGTATGATGATGGATAAATATGTCATGACCCAGGGGTACCCCCTAGATGTAACATGGCGTGTAGAACCCCGAAGGACTCCATACAAGCTACTTAGCTCTCATAACATAAGAAATAGAACAATAAGAGTAAAACAATAGTCCAAGTCCAAACATTTTATAAAAGAAAAACGGAAGTCTAAAACATTTGTCTCATCATAGCCATCTAATACAATAGAATGAAATTGTGCCTAGCCCATACATCATGTCCAAAAGATAACTACATGAAATGGAACTAAACAATGAAAAACTCCGTCCTCTAAGCATGAGGACTCACCAAAGCTCAGAAAGGCGTATAGAACCCTGAAGGACTCCATACAAGCCACTTAGCTCTCATGACATAAGAAATAAACCAATAAGAGTAAAATAATAGTCCAAGTCCAAAACATTTTTATAAAAATAAAGCGGAAGTCTAAAAACACTTGTCTCATCATAGCCATTTAATACAATAGAATGAAATTGTGCCTAGCCCATACATCATGTCCAAAAGATAACTACATGAAATGGAACTAAACAATGAAAAACTCCGTCCTCTAAGCATGAGGACTCACCAAAGCTCAGAAAATATCTCAAGTCAACCTCTAGCCACGAAACTCGGAAACTTGACTGCCGGACCCTATATTTGGGGAAATGTAGGTAAGAGTATGTGTTAGTACAAAACAATGTACCAAGTATGATAGTCATGCATAAAACATTTAAAACATGTTAAAAGGGACATTTCATTTCATAACATGCAATTGACCAAAGCTAAAACATGATATAAGAGAGTTAGAAAACATATTTCATAATAAAAACATGGTCAATGCAAGCTAACATCTTTAAAGCCTTTGAACACATATGAGATACTCCTTGAATAACCTTAGTTCATTATTAATCTTGTTGTGGGGAATTATCCTTAACAGACATAGAGACCATGTGAGCTATAACATGATCCCCCGGTGTCTCCCACACCGAAAGGGGTTATCCTACTTGCCAAGGTAAGGACCATGAACTTCTAGCTTAAGTGGATCCACTATCTAATCATCCTATGGGGGCACATAGTTAAAGGATAAAGATATTGCTACTATAAACCCAGCCTCTACGAACGGGAGAGCTTCCATCTCAAGAGATTGCTTCTAGAAACCCGACCTCTACTAACGGGAGAGCTTTCATCTCATGTAAATATCCTCTCGGCGCTAAGCATAAATCCCACGGAATACTATTTTCTTACTTATTCTCATTATCCATGGAAAAGGTCCTTGGACAACCAATCCAAGCTAAATTCATTAGTATAACTCTTACTCTTTGATTCAATTACGTGAGAAAGTCTTTCAACCTAAGAATCTTTTTTATGTGAGAAAACCTTTCACATCTTACTCTTATGTGTACATGAAAATCCTTTCAATAACA